CACACTCTCACAGACTGTAACACAATCCGTCGCTCATGACACGTCACATTCACAATAGATCACTCAATACAATGGTACATTACAATTCAATCTCACCACACATGAAATATAACCACAGGTACATGAATGCAACACTCCATCACATATTCCAAACAAGGCAAAGTACAAAGTTCTCTCATTACAATAATTATACAATACTATACATCACATCACCGTAACAAACATTTTGACTCGCTCGACATACAGTTGTGACACAGGACAACAAGAACATTAACACACATATGGCACTCAGCCCTGCCAAACGCATTCCGATTTGACCTCAGCACCTATCCTGTGCATTTCGAGCGGCGCTTGCGCCCTTTCTTGCGGTGCTCTCTCGATCTCTTCTTATTGTTTTTGCTCGTTTTGTTCCGGCGAGCCCCTTCCAACGACGGTATCTGAGGCGGCGTCTCAGCCATCGTTGTCACTTCCGACACTGCTAACGGGTCATGACGCTCAACCGTTCCTGCCCGGTTATTCACCCGCTTGTTCACGTCGCGACATTTTGCCTGGCTGGCCGACTTCGTCACCTTTACACTGTCGCTCGGTTGAGCTCGTGCCGACGTAAGTCCAGCTGCCCGGCCCGTGAACTCATTCAACACGATCATCTTCTTATTCACTGTCTCTTGCACCGCGGCTTCACCTTGGGCTCTAGTGAGATCCGTCCACGGGCTGCTCCTCCACTGTATCTCGCAGTCGCTGGGTTGGCGAGGGCTCTATCTTAGGGTCTTCTCCCAAACATTCCGGATCATTCGGTTCTCGCGCCCCGTCGATGTTTCCGATGACAAGGTCGTACAGGGGGGTCGTCATGCATAAAGCTGTAACCTTCCCGCTGAAGTACGGGGTTCAACCTCAATTTCTGCTTCGGGAAGCATCCGAACCGTACGGCCAATTAGGCAAACCGGTTTCGTTTTGCCTGTTAACTCACTTTCCCGTACCAAATTTCTCCGCACGATAACAGTGGAACTGCCGGTACCTCTTAACACCGTAACCTTTTTGCCCGCAACTTTTCCAGTCAGCGTTGGCATTCCCTTCGTAACACCGGTTGGCTGTTTTGTCATTACAGCACCCACAATAGGAATTAATTTCTCCCCATTTTTCAACTCTACAAATCCGTCGGTGACAGCATTATCATCGGATTTCGGTGCTGCTAGCACACAGGACACCTGGTGAGTTTGACTCGCTCCGTTTCGACATGCGTCTACTTTGTGCCCAGTCTGACCACACTTGAAACATTTTACAACCGGGGGGCTCGTGAAGTTAGTTCGGCAGTTTTTAGCACGGTGACCACTCGGTTACACAGAAAACATCGGGGAATGCTCTCCGGTGCACGCTTCTTTTCTTCGGGAGCCGATTTCTTCGAATCTTCAGGACACTCTTTCTTGACCCTGGCCAAATTAATTCCACCTTGTGCTTCCAAGAATTGATCAGCCAATTCGAGCATTCCTTCAAGTGACTCAGCCTTCCTCTCTTTCAAGTACAGCGACAGGCTTGGGTGGCAACTAGTAAGAAATTGTTCTCTAATTAGGAGCTCTCTAAGCTCATCGTACTCCTGCGCTGTCCCTGAAAGTTCAATCCATCTGTTGAATTAATGGCAAAGTCGGGCGGCAAACTGCGTAGCCGTCTCACCATCAGCTGGCTTTGCTGTCCGAAATCTGTTCCGGAATCTTTCCACAGTAAATCTAAATCGCTTCAGCAAAGCAGTTTTCACCTTTGCATAGTTGGCTGCATCGGTCGGCGTCAGCCTACCGTACACACTGAGTGCTTCACCACTCAAGCAAGTACTCAAAGCAGTTGCCCATTGATGTTCCGGCCAATTCTGGCTCCTTGCAATCGTCTCAAATCTGTGAAGGTACGCGTCAAGGTCGTCCTTCCTTTCATCAAACGCTACGAGCAGCTTGCTTGGGTTCAAGTGGAAGCCATGATCTTCTCGTTCGCTGCTTTCAACTCTAGCTTGGACGGGAGTTTCACTTCGCTGTTGCAAACGGAGCCGCTCGAGTTCCATCTCCTGCTGCCACTGCCGTTCCCTTTTCTCTCTTTCTTCTTTCAGCTGTCGCTCCTTTGCCTCTCTTTCTTCTCTCGCCCTTTTTGCTGCCAACTTCTCTCTCTCCAACTCCAACTTCAATTTTTGCTCTCTTTCTTCCTTCGCCCTTTCAGCGGCCAGCCTTTCTCTCTCCAACTCAGCTGCTTTTTCTTCCTTGGCCCTCTCAGCTGTCAACCTCTCTCGTTCCAACTCAGCTGCTTTTTCTTCCTTGGCTCTCTCAGCTGCCAACCTCTCTCGTTCCAACTCAGCTGCTTTTTCTTCCTTGGCTCTCTCAGCTGCCAGCCTCTCTCTCTCCACCGCCTCTTTCTCCTTCTGGCTTACCCATTTCCGTAGTTCGGCGCCAGAAAGACCCATCTTCTCACCAAGAGCAACTAACTTTTCGAGATCCATGGTGTCTCGCAAATAAAGTCTTGCCGCGTGTAAAAAGTATCTGTCTAAATCAGTCTATTGGAACACTCCCCTGCACTCGTTAACGAGAACACTGAACAACACACAAAATTGTTCCGATAGCACTATACACAACTCGAGGCTCTTTCTCACTACTTTGGACACACTGTGCACCAAAAGGTCCTCGTCGCGGACGCCAGATTAATTGTCACGGGTCCCGTTAATTAGGGAGGCGATCGCCGGGCTAAATCCAAGGGCCGAGGTATCGGCCCCCCGAACCGCACCACGAAAGCGTGGACAATTTGGAAGTGGTCCTATTTGGCGCGCCAGCGGACTCCGGCTGTGGCCCAAAGAACAAGTCAGAGCCGAGAGTTGATAAACAAACGAAATTATATTCTCAATAATGGCAGATCAAAACAACACACAAGTATGCACACTCCACAATAGTTGAGTACAATATGTCACCAAACAAACAACGTACTACACAGTACAATCAGCCACGCTCGAAACAACGGACACAGACACAATACGCACTACAATGCAGTCGCATGCATTGAACAACCAAGACACTTAAAGACTAAAGAGATAGAAAACCTATTCAGTCCAAAGTTCTTGGAACAAAAGTCTGGATGATACTCTTCCGAGAATCACTCACTCAAAGTCCAGCGTTGTTGTCGTTCCGCTGCCCCCGAAGTTTCTCTTCCAGGAAACCTCGCCGAAGTTTCTCTTCCAGGAAACCTCGCGTCTTCAATTGGCCACTCTCCAAGCTTCAAACTTCTTCGCCGGAAACACGTCGGCTTCACACACGCAGCGGTTGCCACGCGTCTTCGCTTGATAGCGGTAAACACACACTCTTACCTGTAGCTCAAGTCGTCACCCCTCAGGTGGAAATCATCTTCTTCTCCTGCTTTGTCTCCACGGACAAAACCTTCGCCGACTACACGGCGGAATCCCTACGCGCTCTGGCGCTAACTTCAGTCTTCTCCTGATCTTTCGTCTCGGCTGCTCGATTAAATACCTTCCGTGCGAGATTCCAGAAAGTTCTCGTCATTTCGTCGGCGCGATACGCAGCGAAGGCTGGGGAGAGGACGAGACGGTTCGAAGGCCGTCCGCGATGGATGACTCAACCCGGCACCACCACGCCTCTTTCCTTCTAGCAATTTCGAGTGCTTGCTCGGCCGCCGATGTGGGGTAAGGAGGTTCGTCGGCGAAGCCACGCTTCCGAGGAGAAGAGTCGCACGCCCGGGGAGCCTTTAATGTTTGTTTTCTTTCCCTTTTTTTTATCGTTGACTTTGCGGCGTCACTCCGGCGTTTCCTCGCGAGAAGTTGGCGGCGGGCCCTTTTTGAGCGCTCGTTCTGTGACATCCTCAAAGAACATTGCAAGCACATGGGAAGACTACTTGCCGTTAGTTGTGGTTGGTTAGTACATCACAATAAAAATAGTGTGCAACATTCAGTAATAGGTGCATAATTATTATATAATTATTCTGCAATGGGTCAGCTTGACATCTTGCATCAAGAGAATCAAATATTAGGCTCGAAATATGTGCCTATATTGTTTTTTGGTTATATTTGTTTCAAGCAAAGAAAAATGATGTTCTTGACGTTGGTGCTGGAATGTGGCACATCGAGTAATTGTTGAACATTGTGTTTTAAGCATGCAGCGCAATGAAGATGAATGACTGCTAGTTGTCCACTGAATGTATGAACTGTGGGGCTGGCCACTCACGCCTGCTTGTGTACTGACTAGAGTTTCTTGGGCACCTACCTAATCCACCATATGGCTAAGCTGTTTTAGTGCTCGGCTGGGAAATTGAAAGACATTGTTTCAATCCTAGGGGCGGTGATTGCATTCTTATGGAGGCAAAATTCTAGAGGCATGTTTATTGTGATGTCAGTGAGCATTACAGTGGTCAAAACTACCCACAGCCCTCTGCTAAAGTGCCTCTCATAGCCCGTCACTTTGGGACATTAAACCCCCCAAGCCAACTAACAGACATGAGTTTCTTAGGTACTAAAATACATGAGTTTCTTAGATACTATTTCTTGGCCATTCAATATAATGTGTCATGTAATTTCCCTGAACAGCTGTGTTCCACTGTAGGAGATAAGGTGCAGATGCCTCGAATATCCATAGACATCTCAGGCATCTGTACTTTTTCTTTTACACTGGAACCAGCTCATAGGCAGGAACCACGGAGCAAGCAGAATGTAATGGGCACCCTCACTCCCCTGCTTTCTTGACTGGTCTAGAAAGAAAAAAGCCGTTCCTGAACTGCCTACCTCAGGTAGCTGCAATTACGGCTGCAGGAAGTTCTACACATGAAAGGCACCTATGAAGAAACCATGCTCAGAATTCATGCATAAACAACCAAACAAATTCCACTTTATATATGATGCAGATTGGTCTATGCTACCGAATGTCCCCTCTGTAACAAATGTATGCCCAGAAGAACGTTGCTTATATATGCATAAGCAACTTAGAGAAATTTTCAGCAATTTCCTTACATTGACACTAATTACTCTGCAGGCGGTGATGTCACTAACCTCAAGGAAGAAGATGCTGGCCGGGCCTTGGCTGATGTGCTGCGCAAGTACATGCAGGACATGAAGGTGGACAATGGACTCTCTGCCCTGGGCTATGGCACTGAGGACATCCCTGCTCTAGTGAGGGGCACCCTGCCACAGGTTAGTGCGCACCCTCTCTTTCTTGGGGATTAGGGAGGTGCGATTACAGTATTGAAACAACCACAGACGTAAACAATGCTATGTCTATGTAACTGAAATAGTACGAATTGAGATGTTTCTATTGACTGAGAGTACACTCTCAGTCAACGGAAATATGTTTACGTGGAACTGCTGCTTGAATCAAATAATTGTATCTAATATGATTGGTTTCGCACTTGTATTCTGCAGCCCTGTTCATCTCTCAGTAAATGGAATCCCTGTTGAATGGAACAAATTTTCCTGGTCCCTTAAGGTTCTGTTTAATGAGAGTGCACTGTATGATGCTAGCTAAATAACTTTTGAACTGCTCATGCAATGTACGCAGTAACATAGTTTCATATATTCGATTGGTTTTGGTTTATGAGAACTTTGTTCTGAAAGTCCGTAGGCATGTGCCCCAACACACGGCGAGCCGCTCATAGTAAGGCCGAGACCTACCGCCGCATCAGGGGCCCTCTGGACAATGTGCGGCTTAATTTTGTTAAACATATTTCGTAGGGCTGGCCAAAGGTGTTGCATTTTAACAGTAGCTTTGTTTGAAGAAAAATGTACAAATGTGCAGTGTCTGCTAACAAAACCAACCAAATTAGAGATGGTTCTGTCCAAATTACATTTACCAAGAGCCTGCAATACATGGAATGAAACGTTTGGTTTAGACTATGAAAATTCAGAGTTGTGGTAGCATTTTAGCCAGGATACAGGAGAAGAGCTTGTTAGTCTTAGAGAAAATGATGGTATAAAGTTTGATTATCAAGAGACATTAAGAGGCAGTTTCAAAATGATGTTATAGTAACAGTAGTTTTAATGTCTTTCTTTGAAATCGTTGCCATGGTTCACTTTTATTTTTACAAACATTCATCCCCAAGAAACACCACAATGTGTTTTATTACGCAAAACACTTGTTCAGCCATGTTTTTTTTGTATCAAGGCCCTTAGCCAGGTAAGATACCCCTTGGCCCCCATACCCCCTGAAATTCAGATGGAAGCAGTGTTTTACTAAGGACAAGTAATGAAAACAGGTGTTTTTCAAAGCCCTCAATAACTGCCCCCCCCCCTTCTATTCCTGGCTATGGGCCTGCAAGGCACAGAGGACTTTGCTCAGACTGTTGTCATAATGTTATCTTGTAGAGTTTTTTTTCCGGAGTACTACTTTGTAGTTATTGCACAGGGCTAAATGCAATTAATGGTGAGATGTTTTTCACAAGCCCTGCGGTTCTTGTGTGTCCCGCTGAATGGATTCTTCTCACTATTGCGCAGGAACGTGTGACACGCCTGTCGCCACGCACTCACACCGAAGATGACCTGACCCAGCTCTTCGAAGATTCAATGACGGTGTACTGAGCTCAGATGCAGCTCATGGGGCAAGGATCGGCCTGGACGACCAAACGTGCTGCCACTCATGCAGCCACCTGTTTGTATGTGGCTCCTCCAAATTTGGGACCTAGCATGTGCCCAAGAGGGGACAGTGTTTAAGGTGTCACCACACCAGATGTGCTTTCTGATGCTTTTCAATGATTGCAAAATACTGTCTTTTTGCAACATTGCTAATGACAAGAACATACCAGAAGCAGTGCTAATTCGCACCTCAAAAACTTTTCATGGAGAAAGCTGTAAATCAAACACTTGCTGTGCAAGACTACTGCATCAGGTCTAGTGAAATATCATGACGTTTTTGGTGTTTATGAAAGGTTTGCATCATATGATGAAACAACCAACTTTAAGACATTAGTAGGGGATACGCGACATTGGAGTGGAGCACAGAGCCACATTATAAGCAGGTGTGTAAGGTGGAAGCGATTATTCTTGAAATGATGAAGCAACAAGAAATGTTATCAAAAAGTGAAGTTATGTTGCAAGTGGTGAATGAAGCACTGGGAGGAAAACACAGACTCACTTCTGTAGTCTTGCAAAACGAATTGGGTTCATTAGTGCAGGCCCCACCGCAGTGGTCTAGTGGCTATGGTACTTGGCTGCAGACCCACAGGTCGTGGAATGGAATCCCGGCTGCGGCGGCTGCATTTTCGATGGGGGCAGAAATGTTGTAGGCCCGTGTCCTTAGATTTGGGTGCACGTAAAAGAACCCCAGGTGGTCGAAATTTCCGGAGTGCTCTACTACGGCGTCTCTCATAATGATATTCTGGTTTTGGGACGCTAAACCCCACATATCAATCAATCAACTATTAATGCAGAGAGAACACATCAAGAGGGCATGCAATTATCCTTTGAAGTACTCATGCATGCCAAGACCTGCAATTAAAAATTTTTTAGCTGATTACCCTGCCCCATTCTCGATGCCTTTTGCGTTTTCATTGTGAACATTTTTGTGTTTCCAGTGCAAAACGAATAATTCTTGTACCTGGCCTAGGTGCGCAGATGTATATATGGGTCTGAAACTAGAACTGCCATAAGTTCGTATTTTGATGAAATAAAAATACTACGCTTCAAAGAACTCTTGTGATTTATTATAGGATTTTTGTGGCACAAGGGTGAGCTGTATCCTAAAAGCACATCATTAAGTTTTTATGTAATGTATGCAATGACCAATTAATATGACAACAATACGTACTATTATCGTAATAAAGAGGCCACAAGTCATGGCCTACATAGTAGCATAAAAGTGCATATTGTCACGTGGCCCTGACCTCGATGAAGGTACCAGTCAGCATGTCAAAGAAGGAACACTTTATTTAGCCGAACTTGTGGCTGGGTAAGTGAAGCTCAGACTACAGCAATACACACTGGTTCTCATAGCGGCAAACGGAGTGTCGGCCATCAATAATCTGACAGGTGGTATTGCGCGTCGGCATTTATGCATGTGCCGTCGTATGTTCGCTTTGTGCATCGAAATGTTCTAAATTATGTCGATGGTTCTTATTTTAACAAACAGAGTTTAACTTGCGACTTAAGTAACCAATCCGCACTTATCGCATTTCACAAACCAATCTTGTACCTTAGGTAAGCTTTAATCAGCACTTGAGTACTGGAAAATAAAGTACAGCTACTGGCTACCTTTATGCTACTTTCACTGTTTATTGTGAAACAATATGGCCAACCACTACGGCAGTATTGTTGACTTCACTAATTTTGCCAGCCACGTTTAAGAATTATTACACAAGATGAAGCATATCGTTACAGGCCACTGTTACGCCCATGCGTAATGATGGCATGAACGCGGTGACGAACGTCGTCATCGTCTTTTGCCACATGATGTGATGACTTGTTTTATTAAACGGTTTCGGTCAGGCGTCCACAGCACCTTGGAATATCCAGGCTTTCATTTGAATGGCTGGCAGCGTGCGTTTGTAGACCTCATGGAGGCTGCAAGCGCTCAATCACTTCTATTGCCAGCTTGCGTCTGCTGAATAGATGTGGATGTCCGAATAAACTGTGTAATGGGAGTAGGTGAATGATGCTCACCTATTCTTATTTAAATCATTGGTTCCTTTAGGGAGCTCTGAAAATAAAGAAGTCAGACAAAACACCCAACATTGAGAAGGAGAAAAAAAATCCAAGGACCGAAATGCATGTATAACCACGAAGGAACCACGCGTGTGTCATGCGATATCTCCAGATATCTCACGGCAGTAACAAGCACTTGTAGGCCAAATAACCACAAGTTATGACAACCACACTATATCGACGCCTGCAGAGCGGTAGCTGCTTGTACTGGCCAGTCGAAGGTTTGAAACCAACAAAAGCGAGAATTATTTATTCTACTTCCTACAAAATGTACCTTATAAAAACTAAAACATTTGCGGCCAGTGTTCAGCTAAAGCTATAGTAGATAATTGGTGCTTTATTTATCCAAACAAGTGTGAAAACTTCTATAGCCCTCGTTCCCAGATGTCATAGTTATTCAGAAAATCAACACAATCGTAAGTGAGCCTTAAATGGAGTTTTTGAAACTTAACTCAAACCTATACTTTCCTTATACTTCATAAGTGTAACTTATCGCTTACATTAAAGGGACACCAAAGTCAAATAACTATTCATGTCAGAGTGAAACCTCAATGTGTGACGACCAAAAGGACAATATTGTCCACGCGCTGTGTTGGTAGCAGAAGACGAGAGAAAAGAAGTGAATGGCAGCTGTGGCTGAGTAAACAGTCCTCTACTTCGAGTTCCTGCCTATCGTTTCCTCTCGCGACAGACTGGTGGACGTGCTGGGTACTGTACTGCAACGTCTTATGCCTGCTGGTCCTGAACCAGAAGCAACCACCGCCAGTGCACCAGGGTCTGCTGATATCTACCGAAGCAGCCGCCGCCTTCAAGGACTACCACCACAGTACGGCCCCTTGGCAAGTTCCGTGAGGACAATGTTTGCCACATCCGCAACCCAAACCGAGCATGACCCACTCGCTAGCGTACCCTGTGTCATCAACACGCCTCGCACACCCAACCCATTCCATGGTGATGCCGGTGAGGATGTCGAAGACTGGCTTGACCATTTCGACCGGGTCGCTGCCATCAACGACTGGGACAATCGCCGTAAGTTGAAGAACGTGTATATCTCCCTCTTAGACGCGGCAAGAGTGTGGTATGAGAACCACGAAACTTCATTCACAAGTTGGCAGGAATTCCATCGGCAGCTTCGTGAGGCGTTCAGTAACCCCGAACGGAAAGAGAGAGCGGAGCAGGCACTTTCTTTGCGGTTTCAAATGCCGAACGAGAGCGTCGCCATGTTCGTCGAAGAAATGTCGCGATTGTTTCGACGGGCTGACCCCCATATGCCAGAAGACAAGAAAGTGCGCCTGCTAATGCGAGGCGTAAAGGAGCAACTTTTCGCGGGCCTTGTGCGCAACCCTCCTGCGACAGTGTCCGAGTTCATACGTGAGGCCACAATTATGGAGCGCATGCTTCGGCAGCGGGTGTCGCAGTATGAGCGTCAGACGGCCATGTCCACTGCGTGCTCGCTTGTACCAGGAGGTGATAACAGGGAGGTGCTCACAGAACTCATACGGCAAGTTGTACGCGAAGAACTTCGGAAATTTCATGCAGCGTCTCCTCCCAGTAGTGCTGCTCTTACGGACGTCGTTCGTAACGAAATCAGGCAGTTCGTTCACTCCTCACCATCATCGCAGGTCGAAGCTCCCATGCTTTCCTACGCGGATGCCCTACGCGTCTCTACGCCGTCGACGGCACATTTTGCTCATCCACCAGCTGGGACTCCCAGACGCTTTCCAAGTCCAGCCCATCGCCTGCCTTCTCAGGCCGATTTTCGTCCTGGCCCGCGGAAGTCCACCATCTGGCGTGCACCCGACAACCATCCTTTGTGCTACCATTGTGGTGAAGTTGGACACATGTACCGCGACTGTTACTACCGACGAATAGGCCTACGCGGATTCCACCCAGATGCACGTTGCCCACGCTATGGTGAACGCCCACAAGAAATTGCGGATTACTTGGAAGGTAGTCATCACGCTTTTGTCCCGCCGCGACGACAGTCACGGTCACCATCACCCCGTCCGTCCACATCAACGCACCGCGCCCGACCCACCTTTGGGTCCCCTGGTGTCAGTGGCGCAAGCCCACGCCGGGGAAACTGAAAACGGCGACCTCCGGAGGTGAGGCCGCTGTCACGCGAACCGACAAATACCCTCCGCCGCGGCCTTACGACGTGCCGTTAAAGCCTGTTTGTAAAAAACCGCCAACGGAACGTCCGCTGCCATTACCGTTTCCGTCGACTGTTATCCGGTGACTGCGCTTGTTGACACGGGAGCTGATTACTCGGTGATGAGTGCTTCATTGGCCACCCATCTACACAAGGTGCTGACAACGTGGGACGGCCCTCAACTAATTACCGCTGGAGGACACCTCGTATCCCCTATAGGAAGGTGCACCGCCAGGCTTGAGATTTGTGCGTCGGCTTTTGTAGCATCATTCCTTGTACTGCCCAATTGTTCTCGGCCGGTCATTTTGGGCATGGATTTTCTGCAAGAGTATGGAGCGATAATTAATCTGCGTGATTTGTTCGTCAGTTTCGTTAACTGTGTTTCTCCAGATTCCGACATCGAGAACAAACATCGTGGCGTGGCCTTACGCGTAGTCGATGATTGCGTCACGTTGCCACCTCGCAGTAGTATCTTCGTGCTTGTTGAGTGTCCACAAAAGCAGTCGATTACGGGCATCGTCGAAAGTAACCTGACGTTATTGCTTGAACGGGAAGTGGCCATTGCTCGAAGTCTCGTTCAACTCCAAAATGGCCAGACTACGGTTTTAGTTACGAACTTCGGTGGCGAACACAGGCATTTTGCGAAACGCACAACCATAGCTTACTTAGAGGCATTGGATGATTTGGACGCTTTCCCTTTGATTACGACGATCTCGACTGAGAACAGCTGCGATACTGACGTGACTCGTCGCCTCAACGTCAATCGCCAGTTAGAAGAACATAAGAGGGCAAAGCTCCTTAGTCTCCTCTCATCCTTTAGTGACTGTTTTGCCACTACTTCGAAAGTCCGACAGACTCCTCTAATGAAGCACAGAATTATCACTGAGACCAACGTGCAACTCGTGCGCCAACATGCTTACCGCGTGTCGCAGAAGGAGCAAGATGCTATCCGTCATCAAGTGAAACAAATGCTCGACGACGACGTAATTCAACCATCGACTAGTCCTTGGGCGTCACCAGTTGTTCTGGTTAAAAATAAAGATGGTTTATTACGATTCTGCGTCGACTACCGCAAACTGAACAAGATAACGAAAAAAGACTTATATCCTCTTCCTCGTATCGATGACTCCTTGGATCGCCTGCGACACGCCCGTTACTTCTCTTCCATGGATCTCCGTAGTGGATATTGGCAGATTGAAGTAGATGAACGGCACCGAGAAAAAACAGCGTTTATTACACCGTACGGTCTCTATGAATTTAAAGTTCTTCCTTTTGGCCTTTGCTGCGCTCCAGCCACGTTCCAACGAATGATGGACACAGTTTTATGTGGCTTGAAGTGGTACTCTTGTTTAGTGTATTTAGACGACGTAGTCGTTTATTCTACGACTTTCGAACAGCACATTGAGCGGCTTGAGGCGGTTCTTCTGGCTATTCGCACTGCCGGCCTCTCTCTGAAACCGGAAAAGTGTCATTTTGGATATGAGGAACTGAAATTTCTTGGCCACATTGTCAGCAGCAGTGGTGTTCGCCCCGATCCTGACAAGGCTATGGCAGTTGCTTTGTTCCCGATACCGAAAACAAAACATGATGTACGCCGCTTTCTGGGACTTTGTGCTTATTACCGCCGCTTCGTGCCAAACTTTTCGAAAATCGCCGACCCTCTACAACAACTCGTCAAGGATGACGTCGCCTTCGTCTGGGGTCCCAAACAATCCAGCGCTTTCCGCGACCTTCAACAACGCCTACAAACGCCACCGATCCTAGGTCACTTCGACACCGAAGCAGACACAGAAGTCCGCACTGACGCGAGCAACCTTGGCCTCGGAGCTATTCTCGTG